GTGAATGTCAAAACTGTTATTTCGTCTTTTGGAATATGACAGAATCATAAGGAAATTAAAATTTTTGACTTTTTCATGCCTTTGCATCGGAACACAACCCGAACAAATATTACAAAATTGCAAGACAAAGATTCGCGACCAAAAATTGTTACAAAATTTGTAGGGTTGGTCATCCTTTGGCTACCCTGGCAAGCATGGGTATACTTCGGTTGTTTTGGTCAGCATCGTAGCCTTAAAAAGACTCTACCATGGCAACCCTGGAGACACCTGGTTGTTACTGGTGGAGACATGAAAATGTTGACCAAAGTTGCAGACTCATCTGCAATTTTTAGGATTAACTCCCCAACAACTCGATATTACATCGGAGACAGGTTTTGCTCGTGTAGCCATTAATCACATATATGGTTTCTAAGTAGATTAAATTCAGAAGCGGATCCAGAGCACCATTGTGAGGGGGGGATTCACGAATTATTCAAATTGTGAGCTTTTTTCTGCTCATATGCCCAGCTATTTGTCATTAAAGCCATTTTTTCACATTTTCTCCATTCTGGGTGGGAAAATCTCCCCTTTTTTCACACTGTGGACCCGCCACTGACTAAATTTGACGAAAAAGACCAACACTCCCATCCCTTTTTGTTGAAACACCCCCCCCCCCCGAGAAGTTTTGTATTCTGTTTTATTTAACCCTCATAATTCGAACTTGCAGCATGTAAAGTGCGCTGACGAAGACTTAGATATTACCAAATGTCGAGCTGAAAGAAAAACGAATTCGAAAACTCGTGTAACCACGATCACGATGTTGGTTTGAGGTGCCACGAGCCCAAATGGGCTGGTGTTCGATTCGGTGTCCTGGCAGACAGAACTAACCTTCAATTTTAGCTATCGAGCACGCTGGTTTACTAGATTATGCCACAAACCATTGAAACCTGGTATGCAATTTTTTTTCCTATCCTTCAGTTAAAGTATTCCAATTGCTATTTACAAAAAACGTATTTCACGTATTTTAGCTTTACAAATCGACTTAAATCGGCATGTCTTGGAGAATATACGACTGAGTGAGAACATCGACGACGGCTTGGGCGTCATATATTCGGATCTGTACTCGCTGGGTGTTTCGAATATCGTCAAAATTGCGAAATTAAAAATAACGAAGGTTCCGGTATCAGTATAAAGCAATTTGGGCTAAAAGTATCAGGTAAACACCTAATGCCTCTAACGATTGGTATTCGTATCTAGTTTCGTTACATTCGTAATGGTATTCGCGTGCAGGAAGTCAGATTATGAAGAACAAATTGCTGGCATTCGTCACGATCCGATGATCAGCCTGAACAGCAGCTGGAGATCGCTGGCTGGTTCAAGCTGGACCCGCCGATCATAACGACGCCGTGACCTATGCACCCATCCATTTACCTCGGTTGGACGAACACAATGTGATCGACTTCACAAATGAAGGCGATACCAAGTACATTATCACCGAACGTTTACATAATTCGCAACAAGTGACTCGAACCTACACATAAAAGTGAGAAATTTTTGTTGTTTGGCCTAAGGAGAGTATTTTTCGAGCTTTGCTAATTTTCTAAATGAATGCTTTTTTAGGCAAAACCTCATCTAGTTTTGGGCATTCAAATTCTTAATCCGATACACAACGAGAGTACCGAGCAGATTTCGATATACGACGGACAGAGTTTGTCGAGCCAAATTCGTGTCTGGGACTTGCGAAAGGACTTGATGAGCTTCCCAACGATGAGTAAAACGCATGGAATTTTGCTGAGATACGAAAGCGGTTCCAATGCAATGGGAAACGTTATCATCATCATAACATCTACCACCGGTAAGGAAGATCACTTATTTTATTCAACTCCCCTGTGTGAGAGTGAGATTGAAGATTGATACTAAAATGAATTTCACTCCATTATTTATCTTCATTTTCAAATTTATGGCTAAGAGTAAGGAACTGGAGCTAGTTTCGGAAACAGTTTATTTATATCAAGTCCTGATAATTATGTATTTTCAGAAATGATGAGAAATATAATTTTTTGCTTACCTGTAACTGAGAATTTTAACCTCCCTGGAAAACAAAATAGAAAAGAAAATTTAAAGAAAAGTAACTTTGGCTTAGAAAATATATTCAAAGAAAAATTCACTTTAATATGTGCGTAGCTCCAATCGCCAGGGAAGGGGGCTCTCAATAAATGATTTGGAAATGAGTTGGAATCTACTCAAAATCTTTCGATGCTATCCATTGAGGACCACATCAGTATCCAAAAAATTAATGAAAAACTACTCCGAGTAAAAATTATCTTATAAACTGTCAGAAATCATAAATGGGGCTGAGCTGGCCATATAATGACTTTGAATTTTGGTCTCTTTTTTTATAAAACAAAAATAGCAAATCTAAAACTGCATACACGGAGGGACGAAATTCGTAAAGTTTTTCTATGTACACATACAAGCTTCTGTATTATGTACTGCCAAATATGACGTAAAAAATTACACTCATTTCATTGAGATCCTCCTAAGAGAAAATTTTCTCTATTTATGTTAGACTCATACTCAATTGAATATTCGAGGATTTCACTGCTGAAATGAAAATGTGAGGTTTTGCTAGTTTATGATTAACCTTTACCGAAGTGTTTGTCTTTGAAATAGTTTCCAATTTTTTTGAAACAGAAAAGTAGTGAATGGCACTGAGAAATTTTTACTTTTGTAAAAATTGATTCTATTCTCTTTGTTACAGGAAAATATGACATAAGACAGAATCGAGCTATTTACTTCGACTCGTTCCCAACCTTATTGGTCACTGGCACACATATTAAAGAAAATGGATTCGGTATTTGGAACTCCTACTACAATAGGTATGGTGGTAGTCTGTTGTGCAAGAAGTAGAATCTTGATCATGTCAGAGATTAACCTTATTTGTTCATCTTTCAGCTATCAGTCTGAATTTGGTGACCATTATCTTCGTAAGAGTAACGAAACTCTGTGCATCGTCGACTGTGACATTTCGTACAATCAGCATGAGGTGCTTCTAGTCCAATCGAATAGTCTGATCCTGGATAAGTCTAATATGTCAGAAACAACTATTATTATTAATGGCACCACAATATCTAAAAATGGTCGTGGACTTCGTCACTTCAGCAGGTATTTCTTAATCCATGAAAAAACGAAATCAGAACTAAAAACGTTCTATATTTATTTCTAAAAGGTGCTATAGTACATTTTTATATTTGAACCAGTGAGAGCGAAAACGACTTAAGTCAACTTTTGGCAATTTTCATTTTATTGGCTGATTCGATTCTTGACACCAAGCCCCACCTCCCATACAAATATTGCCCCCAACTGACTCGAATTTCTGTGTTAAATTAACACCCATTATCCTCAATTTGCAGAAAAACGACTTAAGTCCATTGAATTTAAGTTGTTTTCCTGCATTTTCCTTCCAAATTCTACTTGTACATGGCACCAATGGGATATCAGAAGTGTATCTGGTATTTATATGTTTAGGGGGTTATAATATGGGGGTAGGGGGTACCAAAACCACCAGTACATATTTCACCCAGAATTTTGAAATCTCAGAAAAAAAAACTATTCAACCTTGAAAAAAATCATTTATCAACACCCAGAAATACTTGTAAATGTGATACAACGTCATAAATTATGATCAACATAACTTTAGAAATAATTTCTTCCATTTTTTGCCACAATTTTGATCAAAATGCAGAAAAAGGACTTAAGTCCTCAACTTGTTTCTCTTATAATAGGGGCGGGAGGTATGGTGGAAGAAAACTAACCACATGAGGCTGACATGTATAGTACAAGTGTTGTCTGTAAACTTAAAGCAAAGCAAAATCTCAACTGGCTGAGCCGCAGGATGTTTTTTTTTGTTTCCTGTAAAATTGAAAAAAAGTTGACTTAAGTCGTTTTCGCTCTCACTGCTTCATTGAAAAAATTTCTTTTTTTTCTAAAGAAGGACCTATCTTCATAATTATTTGATCCCCATTCTTCGGCTCACTTTTAGCAGAGGATCTTGTGACTGATTTCGAGTGCATAAAATTGTTATATTTTCATAATTTATATTGAAATTAATGTAAAACTGGAATACATGAAAAGTACCATTTTTCTACACCCATCTGGTCTTGAGAACTGAAATTTTTGTTGTATGCAAAACTTTTCCTCTAAATTTTAATTTCGATTGATGTATCAATTATTGACGACTTTGTACAATTTTATTGATTCTTAAACTGAAATTCAACTTTAATTTTCAGGGATCTGCGTAATTCCAATAATCTGTTCCATTGGTACATGTACAAAAATGTGATCGATCGAAATGCTGGCGGTGGCTTCGAGGTGACTTTGCCTTACGTATGGTCGTACAACGAAAATTACACTCACTCTGTGGTGCTAGAAAATAATACTTGGAGCTTCAACGACGATATGGCTTTCATTTTAGACGGCCATTATGCCCAGCTGAACATGTCAGGCAACATATTCCAGAATAATACGTGCAAACGTAAGTGCCCTAGTACCTGTTTTCTATAGTCGTCAGAAAATGCCAAAATTTTGTTTCAATCTATTTATATTCTCTTTGCAGACGGCCTAATATCCATTCGTGGCATGGAAAAATCTATGCGCATTACCAGAAATGTGATAACGAATAACCGAGGAGTTTACATGGTCGAATTCAAGGCAAACAGTCAGTCTGAGATTCGAGGCGAACTGAAGGCTGTGTTCTTCGAAAATACGTTGAAGAAAAACATTCCACCCTCTCCCGAGGTATTTTCCAGCTTTCTCTGAGCTCGAGAATTCATGATACGGTTTACGTAATTGCGTGTGTTTTTCTCAGACTCCAACCAGTTTAATCGTTTTCGATGGCATTCAGAGGGTACGAATTCGACGTAACTTGATGTCGAATAATGGGCTAGCATATGCGTTGGTTGCTGGTGTGAAAACGGCTCGCATAGACAGTAAATTAGACATTTCGGAGAACTGGTGGGGTACCATTGACTATGCGAAAATCAAACGGCAGATTTTTGATTTCAACGACTGGAACGACCATGCGTGGCCATATTTAGGCCTTATTTGATCGAAGACGACTTCGAATCATCCGTTTCTGTGAGTACGAATTTTGTAGAATTGAGTTTACAAGACGTCTCCTTTTTTTCCCATCCTACATAGAATACTCATTTCGATACAATCCGGTGCATTTTTTCAATATCGTATATTGAGGTGACTTTGCAACCAAGGAGTTACCTTACGGATATCAATTTCTCTTCCTTCTGACACCAGTCAGTAATATTTTATTTTATTCGGGTGAAATTGATATAAAAATGCATTAATGATAAAAAATAATGATTTAGGGACATGATAATTTATTTTGCATGTAATGATCCTGATCAAAATTCAATTATTATAAATTTTTTTCGATGATCGGCCTTGAAAATCAATTTTTTCAAATTGATTATGGTCTGTTCACGGTAAGAAAGTCACAGTTAGGGTATAGTACACCGATGAGGTGAACTCCGCAACGATGTTTAATAAGTTGCCTGCTACGACAGCATTAGGGGATTTTTTAAATATGCTTGACACTTTTTTTCAAGCATTTTCCTTTTGTTTTCATTTTTCATCTCTCTTATGTTAGTTTATTTGGTTGCGGAATGTTGTTTTTGAAGACAGAATTCGCGAATTTCTCATCATTGAGCTCCTGAGGAGGTTTACAACTTCAAATAGAACTCCATGAGCGCTAGACGGATTTCGTTCAAATTCGGATATGTTGTAGTTGAACGTATTATCTACGCTTCATGAGAGCTGGATTTTTGAAATTCGAGTTTTGAAGTCATATTTAAATGTGTTGAAAAGAAGGGGTTTTTCAGTGACTTAAGGAAGTCCTCAAAATCTCAAATTTCAAAAAATCCGGCTCTCATGAAGCGTAGATAATACATTCAACTACAACATATCTGAATTTGAATGAAATCCGTCAAGCGCTCATGGAGTTCTATTTGAAGTTGCGAACTACGCAAAAAAAGCAGGGGTGTACTACAGCCTTAAAACAAGCTACGAATCCAGCAAGGATTTTTCATTTCATTCCTCCAATCACATTCGTCAAAATTTCAAAAAAGTGTGTCTTTCTTACCGTGAACGGACTATAGTAGGTATATTTTGCAAAGATTAATCATCATTCAACTTTTCCAAAGACATTCATGAAATTGGAAGAAAGTGAAAAATATTCGGCTTGATGGAATCACACATATGAAAATAAAAGAAATTATTGCGAAAAATTTTGAAGGAAACAATAAAAGGTGAAAATAATCAATAATATTGATCACTCAGAAAAACTATTTTTTTTCCAATTATTGATCATTTTGATTTTCAGATA